CAAAAAGAAAAAAAAAAAAAAAAAAAAAAAAAAGAAAGAAAGAAATGCATCCATGTTCTTTTGTATAATCATATTAGAGTCAAGTATATTTATTTTCACATCTGTTATAACTGCTATTGCAAATGAGAAATACTATAGTATTATTTTCCAAGAGATATATACAGAGCAATTATTTTTCTCCAGGGAACTTGTGCAAACCAATATAAGATCTAAATTCTTCACATGATTTGTAAAACAGGAGGAGCCCCTCAGATTTAGTTTTTGAAGTATGGAAAATGCTGGCACTTTCCAATTAGGCAACAGTTCTTCATTCCTGTAATCTGTCTTGGCGCTGCTGCTGACTAAGGGTCTAGAGCAGCAGACATAATTTCTTTTTAGGCTTCTTCTTTTCTGTTGGTGTTTTTCTATTTATCTGTCTGACAAGGCCATAAAATATCTCATTAACATTGATCTTTGACTTTGCAGAAGATTCTAAAAAGGCACAGTTACATCACTGTCTTGCTGAATTCTGGCCCTGTTCTTTGCCAACTACTCACTTATCTTCTAGGTCACATTTATTGCCAACCAAAATCATTGGAACATCTTCTGTTCCTTAACCCATAAAATCTGTTCTGTCAGATCTTGTAAATCATTAAATGTGGACTAAGCTGTTACAGAATATACTAGTGCAAGCCCATAGCCATTCTGCATACACAAATCCCTCATTGCTGTAAATTGCTCTGTCCCTGGTATATCCAGGATTTCGAGCATGCACTGTTGGCAATCTCCTTCAACTTGCTTTCTGAGGAATTCTATTGTTGGGTTATATTTTTAAACAAAAATTCCCTGAACAAACTGAACTGTCAGAGCAGACTTCCTCACGCCTCCTGAGCCAAGGACCACTAGCTTGTACTCATGCATGATGTGGTCTATTTAAATACTGACAATCTCCTCAATGCCATTGAAGGTGCAGTGAGACATACACTCTTATACACAGGGAAACCACCCTCTGATCTAGTAATCTCACTCCTGGGAATCTGTTCCCCACCACCACCACCACCCCTGTCTGGTGCCTCCTCTACTTTTTCCTCCTCCCCCACCCTATTCTTGGCCATGGCTCCTCCTCCAGCTCTCTCTTTTTATTTTCTAATAATTTAAAAATAATTTTTATTATTAGTAGTATAATCTTTGGGCAATCAGTAAAATAGTAAAAGAAAATATTTTACTGCTGCTGTAGAGCTGAACCTGAGAAAATAGTGGCGTCAGATTATGATTGATTCTTTAAATATATCTCTGATGATTCTTTAAATGGTTATTTGATCATAATAGAATCTCAGGTTTGGGAGGAATTCAAGTAGCCTAACTCTCATCTAATGCTTGACTCTCCTTTATAGTACTGTTACATAATCATCATCATAATTGTAAGTAGCTAATTACTATGTGCATTGATTATTATGTGTCAGATACTATGCTAAGCACCTTATGCACAATGTTATATTTAATCTTAATAACCATCCTTTGGGGCCGGACGGTGGCGCACTGGATAAGTGCGCCGCTTGGGAAGCACGGCGGCCCTCCCGCCTGAGAGTTCGGATCCCACATACAGACCGGTTCCCGCTCACTGGCTGAGCGAGGCGCGGGGGCAACGCCGAGGGTTGCAATCCCGTTGCCGGTCCCCGGTCCGGTACGGGGGCAACACTGAGGGTTGCGATCCGTTGCCGGACACGGAAAAAGACAAAAGAAAAAAAAAAAAAAAAAAAAACATCCTTTGAGTTAGGCCAATGTTTCTACAGACCCTGGTGGGCTTCAAGATTCTCTTGAGGGGTCCATGAAGTCAAAATTATTTTCATAATAATACTAAGATGTTATTTGCCTTTTTCACTGTGTCAAAATGGGTAGAGTACAAATTGAGTCAGTTGTACCAAACTATACTAGTAGTCATTATATTCTTTACCAATGTGCACTTGCAGTTAAAAAATAAAAATAAAAAAGGCCAGTTCACTTAAGAATTTTCTTAATCAAGCAGTATAAAGTATTAATTTTATTAAATCTTGAATACATTTCTATTTAATATTCTGTGTGATTAAATGGGAAATACACATAAAGCATTTCTGCTGCATACTAAAGTACAACAGTTGTCTCGAAGAAAAGCACTTGGGTAATTGAGTTGTAAACTGAGTTAGCCACCTTTTTAATGTAACATCATTTTTTCTTGAAAAAATGACTGGCAAATTATGATTATTCAGACTTGGTTATTCGGCATACCTCTTTTCAAAAATGAAATGAGCCAGTAC